TTCTCCCTCCAAATGGACCTCTTCCTATGATCTCCGATTTCTTCATAGAATCATACAGCGTGGAATCTCGCCATTTAGCCCTTTGAATCCAGACAGACCTTACAAATAGCATCGCACCCAGACCACCCCCGAACATATCCCTGTAACTCTGCAATTCCGATAGCCAATCCGCATAAACTAAAAGTCTTTGGACTGTGGGAGAAAACAGGAGTACCCAAAGGAAACCCACGCAGGCATGGGAAGAATACGAAAACTCCACAAAGTCAGTCGCCTGAAGGTGGAATTGAACCTGGGTCACTGGTGCTGTTCGGAAGCAGTGCTAACCACCATGCCGTCCTTATCTTACCTGCACTTGACTTGTGATATTTCCCGGCTCCTGTTACCCGTTTTAACCTATCTTCCTCTATAGTCAGCTTTTTTTTTAATGCTCTTAGATCTGACTCTTTATGCTCTGACTCTGTAATCAAGCCTGTTGACAAGAGTGGTGTTGTTCTCTGGCAAACTGACCACTACCTTGCTGAGGCTGAGCACCAGCTCTCAGGCGGCGTACAGTAACTACATCTCAGCTGAGTATCACTGCCTCAGAGCTACCAGAAGTTCACAAAGACTGCCTTGGAAAACCCATTGTTTCAGCCTGTTCCTACCCCACATAACTTATTTCTTCCTACCTTAACTCATTATTTTTTTAATCCAGTGCCTTCCGACCTACGTCTGCAAATCATCTGAGCCAATATGTCAGTTTCAAAATTTCCAGTTTGTGACCATCAGGCACCTCATCTTCACCATGGACTTGCATTCCTCCTATATTTCCATCAAGATTGATGGGTTTCACTTCTTCCTTGAATGGTATGCTCCTTTGCACCACCATGCTCTTCTACCAGACAGAGTTGTCCTCACTTTGGACAACTTCTCCTTTAACTCATCTCATTTCTTCAGGTAAAAGTTTTGCGCATGAGCACCAGATATGCATGTTTCTTTTTGGGTTACATGGAACACTTCTTAATCCAGTCCTACTCAGGACACTTCCAACAACTCTTCCTGTGGTATATCAATGACATCATCAGTGTTGCTTTCCTCCTTCATACAGAATTGGAAAAAAACCCATAAATTTTGATTCCAATTTCTACCCTTCTCTTAATTTTAACTGGTCCATCTCTGCCTCCTCCCTTTCTCGACATCTTCATTTATATATCTGGTGATAAGATGGCCACTGACATCCATTACAAACCCACTGAATCCCAGACTTTAGTATACTTCCTCATACCATGCTTCCTGTAAGGGCAATTATTCCATTTTCCCAGAATCTCCATCTCTGGCACATCTGTTCTAATGAAACCATCTTATAAAAGGGGAACCTCAAAAATGTTCACTATTTTCTTCAATTGAGGATTCCTCATCACAGTTGTCGAGACACCCCTCAGATATCTCTGATCCATTCCCTGCACATCTGCCCTTACTCCTATCCAATCCAATCACGACAAAGATATGGTCACTTAGTCCTCTCTTTCTACCTACCTACCTCCATATCCAAAGGATCATAAGTTACCATTTCCACCACCTTCAGCAGGATATTGCCGTCAGACCCATATTCCCCTTACATCCCTCGACAACATTCACAGGAACTGTTCCTCCCTGACACCAGCTCCACTCCCAAATGATGGTGAAACTCCAACAGCAACTTCCCATGCAGATGGCGCAAAACGTATCAGTTTACCTCCTCCCTCCTCACCATTCAAGGCCCCAGGCACATCTTCCAGTTGAAGCAACAGTTTACCTCCATCTTATTTGCTGCTCACAGTATGGTCTCCTGTACACTGGAGTGAAGAAGCAACGACTGGGTGAACACTTTGTTGAACGCTTTTGCTCTATCCAAAATAAAAATAAAAAAAAAATCCTTAGCTTCCAGGTGCCACTCAATTCAATAGGCCTCCGTGTTTCTACTTCAAGATTTGTGTCTCAGGCTTGTTGCAGTATTTCTGCAAGACTCAATGCGAATTGAACGAACAACATATTATTTTGCACCTCGGTACCTTATAGTCTTCAAGACGCAAAATTCTGCGCAACACTTTCAGAAAGTGCACATCATACGACTAGGCCCTGTTTTGTACATGTTGTTCCCAGCAATCAATTCACTTTGAACCATTTGCAATTATCATAGAATCCTTACAGTGTGGAAACAGGCCCTTCAGCCCAACCTGACCCTCAGAATATCTCACCCAGACTCATCCCCCTAATCTAGACTTTCCTGAATACTTCGGACAATTTTGCATGGCCAATCCACCTAACTTACATATCTTTGGACTGTGGGACGAAACAAGAGCACCTGAAGGAAACCCACGCAGACACAGGGAGAATGTGCAAACTCCACACAGATAGTCACCGAGGGCTAGAATCAAATCCAGCTCCCTGGTGCTGTGAGGCAACAGTGCTAACCACTGAGCCACCATGCCACCACGCCACCACTTCTTGTCATCACCCATCCACCATTAATCTCTGTCTTGTCTAATTAAAAGCAATGTCTTTGTTTGCCTATCATTCTGACTCTTTTTCTGGGCAAGGTCTCCGTGGGTTGTTACCAGTTACCAGTGGCCCCCGACTCACCCCACCATAAGCATAAATACCACCCATTCCCAACTACTTTCATTTCCTTCAAAGGATCACTGGACTTGAACAGAAAACTATGACATTTTTTTCGCCTACACATGCTACAAGACCTGCTGAGTTTCTTCAGATTTCCAGAGCCTGCAATCCTTTTGTTTTTAAGTTCCACCAGAATCTTTAAACCCTCTGTCTGCTTATTTTTTCATATTTGCCAAAGTGAACAAGTTGATATTTCCCCATATTATGCTATATCTATTTCTTTTTGCACAATCTATTTCACTCTGTGTCTTTTGGAAGATTCCTCAATTTCACCTCTCAATTAATCCTCCTACACATTTTTGCCTGTACTTTTATTATGGATAATGGTCTTGTCCATTGTTCTTTAATTTCCAACAGTTCTGACAATGGGACTTGAAACAAAAGCCTGCAGATCATTAACTTGGAGTGCAGGACTACTAACATATGATATCATCATGCATGTACTAAATAACAAAGTTACTACGATTAATAGCACTATTAACAGTAGCACTATCTGCCTTAACATTTTTTTGTACAGTTTATGAATTTTCTTCTGGATTATACATACCATCCTGGCCTATTATGTTCTTGCTTCAATGACATATTTGAGAACTAAGTGAAAAATTCCGAAACTATGTGCCTAATTATCTGCTTCATTTCGAAATTGATACATCCATGACACCAATGTGCTGATTCTTATGACGAAAGAAGCATACGTGCTAGCAGTGTGCTGTTAACATTGATTTGACCAATGAAGTATATCTTTGTGTGTTTGAATCCCTGCTTAGATTCATTATTGTGCACAGTTCAACAATATATCTGATGCTATTCGTAACTGTCTTATTTGCCAAGCTCAGTTGAATTATATTTATTCACGTGTTTTGTTATTTTGAATGTAAGACTTAAATTACTTTTTCCTTTGTGCATTAGCTATGTTCTTTCTCATATAGAAAAATATTGTAATTTGGCATTCTGGTTATGAGTTGTAAAGTCCACTTTAAGACTTAGCTGTAACGGATCAATTGACTTTCATATTGGTTTAAAATTGGATTCCCCCAAATGAAGATATCAAACAGAATATAGCAACTAACTGTAAATATAATCACTGGTTTGTCATTTAACAGCCAACAGCAGGCTTTTTAAAAAGTCTATTGAAATTGAGGGTAAAACCAACTGTAACAGTAAATAAATAATTCTTTATATTGATTATCAAGTATAATTTAAGGATTCACTAGTTTTTAACTAGCGCATGCTCAGGAATACAGTGAATGGAACGATCAATTGCTTTTCTTAAACACGACCTGAGTATTTGAATAAATTATCTGTTGTTTTGTTCCTCTAGACAGTGTTATTGTAATTCATTATATAAAGCATATATAACATTCCAAACTGATATTATTCCTCCGCGTTTTGTTTTGTAAGATAACAATAGCCAACAGTAAGCTTATTACCTATGTCACAAATATAATCATTTTTGTACACATGTAACCTATTGTCACAGTCAAGCAACTTATTCATTTCTTGATCTAAGACATGAATGACCTACCTTTTCGTTGCAGCTTATATTGCTTACTGTACCACTGTCATCAAAATAAACTTTTTTGCCTCCAACTGTACACTATTAATCAATTCGAGATGCCTGTTATGTTGGAATGAGTGTTTGTAACAGCAAGGAGGAAGGCACTGTTGAAATGTAAGGCAGATTACAGTGCATGCATCAAAGATGTCTCAAAGCACCTTCCCAACAAGGTTGTATGATTTTAAATATCATCACTATCCCAACGCAGTGCATAAGCCAGCAATTTATTATAAAATGAAGTCAAACAACAAACAACGCTCTAATTTGTTTGATTTTTTTTAGCACTGCTACGAGGGGAGAAATTTTGCCGAAGAAAATCAAAGAAATTCACCTGCAACTTTTGATAATGTCAGGCCGGGTGATGCTTACAATGTCTTGAAATACCTAAAACCTGCCTGGGTTTAATATCTCAGCTGAAAGACTACCTCGGAATATGCTGCATTCCTCCAACACAGACACTGTGATTGACATTTACTTTGTCCTTAAAGTTATGGAATGGCATATTGACCGTGTTTTATTTTAACATCGAAATGAAGCCTGAAATGAGGGACAATTAACACTTGATGGCACGGTGGAGCAGAATCAAGAGGAAATGAGTCAGGCAGTCTGCTTATTTTGTGTGATACCTTACCGAACTAAAAAATTTACAACCTACACGATGATTGATTGAACTTTGCTAACAGATCTGTACGTGGATGCTTAACGTGTAAACAGGAAACCCACAGTAATCATGTAAATGATTCTGTACTTTCCATCAAGATATTTTTAAATGCAGCAGATAATTTCCACAGCTGAGCCTCAAGATTGAGCTCCACAAACAACATAAGTCTATTCAAATCTCACAGTGAGAACTTCACCCACCTGCAATGGATCTCGTAACTCTCTGTATGCTGTTCTATCTTTTGCCAGGTTCGACATTTTCCTTCTAATGTAAGGTATATCTGGAGTAAGACCAATGGGAAATCCGGTCAGGTGAAGCACTAAATGAAGTATTCTAGAAAAGAAAAACGTTCTTTAAGTGGTGAAGAATTACATTATCAAAGATCTGTAAATTAGATAAACTTTTCATATTTCGTCGATTGTACATGGAAACAAGTTGAGGAGTTATTTTACTGTTTTGAGTCAATGCTTATCTTTTCACCAAAATGACGAAAACAGCTTTTGTGATCGTATGGAATTGCTGTTGCAGAATATTTCTTTGTGTAAAAGTCAGTGCTCGTTGTCTTAAATTGCAATAGTTGACCGCATTTGACGAATTATTCCTTGGCTGTATGGTATTGTTCTTTTTTTCTTTCTTTCTTTCGTTCTTTCTTTCTTTCTTCCTTCCTGCCTCGTGCTTTTGACATATTTTAGCACATATTAACGTACCAATTTGTAATTAGAATTAGTGCTCATTCTCGAAATGATTATATTTGCTTCACTTAAGCCATTAAATTTGCGTGAACCAAAAGTTAAGTTTTCAGCTAAAGCTTGTGACATGCTCTGTTTTCAAAGTTACTGTCCCTCAGACAACGCTCCCGCAAAGTCCAGCACTTCAGAGTGTCTCCATTGGAAGCACTGTTAGGATGAAATGCCACACGGACTGGTATGCTACGGGAGGTGTTCACTGGTACAAACAGAAGGTTCGAGGAAATCTGCATTTCGTTTACACTGTGAGCACATACTCCACTCCAGCTGGAAGATTTTCTGGGGAAGTTAACGACAAATCGACTGTTTATACGCTTGTGGTTCACAACGTCCAGAGAAATGATTCAGGTGTATATTTCTGTGCTGGTAGGAAATTGTTCCTTGACCCCTTCATATTCGGAAATGGTTCACAATTGCTTATAACAGGTAAGAGTAAAGACAGATTGACGGATTTCACTATCGACACAAAGCAATGTTGAACAATAATTTCATGTTACTTCCCAATCTCATCAGGCCCTCCCAACGTAATTCTTTTATCTCCACCACGGCAAGAAATGTTTTCCATGGAAACTCTCCCATTGATGTGTTTAGTGAGCAACGTGATCTCTAATAACTTTCCCATCGACTGGAATATATCCACCTGGGATGCCGAGGGTTGGACAGATTCTGTGGCAATGGACTCCACTGGAGTCTACAGTATCAGAAGTCACATCAGAGTCCCAGCAGAAGCTTGGAAATATGGTGCTGTCTGTACTTGCTCAGTTCAAATCAGCTCAACTGCAATTCGTAACAGTGAAAGTATCTCATATCAGAAAGGTAAATATTGTCAAAAGCAATTAATGATTAAGTTTAGTGCTAACATTAGACTTTATTGTGAACAATATGACCTTTCATCTTCAAAGTTGCTCCCATTCTTTGCATCGACATCTGATTGCCCAGATATTTACTTCTTTCAAATAACTCAGCCTTACACTCTTTAGCTTTCTCAATTCTGATCATAATTTGTTGAAGCAGACTATTTGCACATAAAGCAGGGTATAATGAACGAGTCTGACATTTTGTTGATCAAAATGGGAAATAATTATTTATTCCCAGTTCGCTAGATTTCTTATTAATGCCTATGAATAGTTTTCTGTTTATCATAGCATTCGCGTTGGAAAAGACATACTTTAATCTGATTAAAACTAAAATAAATTAAAACTAGTGCTCCTGTTTCTCTCAAGCATCCTCCCAAATATTTATTTTGATAGTACTTTTATTAACTGCACCTGCATTCGCATCCCTTTCTCCCGTGCATATTTAAGAAATTTTTATGCTTTCTATCCACGTCCGAGTTTCCAACTCACCCAACCCTCCTCCGCTTCATCATACTTTCATTAGAGCGGCGCAGTTATATTGATCTCTTCTAGATTGATACTGCTTCAGAAGTGGAAAGATATTGTCTAATTCGATTCAATCTATTACTTTTATAGACCGACTTCCTCTTTCAGGACAACAACAGCAATCGATTTTTCAATTCTTTTTATTGGTTCAGGCATTCAGTTCTGTTCTCATCATAGAATTTTTAAAATGAGTTTTATATAGTACGGGTTTATCTATTTGTTACATCAATAGCATATCTACTCATCGTGTTCCAAGTTTTATTAAATCAATATTCTCCGCATGCTATCCATAATTTAGTGTTAGGTATGGTAATTTCCATGCTTCCCTTTTGCCTTTGACAGCCTTTCAGTCTGATTGACCTTGCTTCATTCTTTTTTTCTTTTCTTGTTCACATAGTGTCAAATCGCTCCTTTATTCTACCCGCTTCAAAAATGATTTTTCAAACTTGCAAAACGCCTCTTCAATCTATTAAAAAATAATCTATCAAACATTTCGCCGAACAGAGAAGATTGGGGACTACATAGGTAAAAACAATAACTGAATGGGTATTGGAGAAAGATTGACAGTCTAAGTTTCAAAGCATGTGGTGGAATATTATAAATTTGGAGAGGGCTACTTACGGAGCAAAGTAACGGTTTATGAAACTGGTGGCGGTAATATTTAACACAGTTTCTCTAAACACCCACTTAAATAGTTAAATGCTGAAAGGATATGTAGCGTGTATGAAATTGCAGGAAATCGTGGTAATGTATCTTCCAACAATTTTCAATGGACGCAAATACTTGTATGCTGCAAGTCATATAAAACTGAAAATACGGATGAGAAATTAAGTGACAGGCGCAAAGACATTGTAAACCTTGAAGTATTTTTATTCTAGGCTAAATTCTGGATTCGATTCCGATTGATAGACGTATGCCGAGAGGGATCCAAGTAATTAGTTAGACTCGGTTTAGTGTAGCAAACTTTGAAGAACTCAGTAACCTCATTCTGTGCCCAACAGGATGATGTTTGCAAAGTTATGTTGCTCTATTTGGCGAAAGTTTTCAGATGTGTCTCTATCTTCTTTTCTCTCAGTGTCTCATTCTGTCTTTGTGCTAATTTATTGGTCTCGTGTGTAACTTTAAGGGTTACATTATTTACTGCAGGAGTTTTGTGGATTGCACAATTAGCAGCTGATTTGAATTGACGTTGATGAGTCTCTTGAGTTGCTTGTAAGTATTGGATACTTAATTTGTTTATTTTTAATCATATCTCTGCCTTCTTCAGAGTCGCAACATATCGATTGTTCTTTAATGCTTTATGGGAGTACGTTGCCAATGATTTCCCTTGTCATGATGTTAATTGTCGTTGGTGGATGTATCTACGGGAATTGCGGCTTAGGTAGGAAGTGAACCTTGGTGCTAAAAATTCGTTGTGATCGACATATGCGTTTTGTGCTTTTTGACTTTTCATGTTAATTAACCCAATAATCCATACATTTATTTAACAAAGCTGGTTATTCATTTTACATCAGGCAACCGGAACACAGAAAAGGAATCAACAGATTTTCAAACACGTGATTCAAACCAGGAGGTAAGTGCATGAAAACTGATATAATTTTTCTCTCAAGACGTGTGTTCTCCTTACACCAGTTTTAGAAAACGTTTAATAGAAGCGGTTACAGTGACAAAAGTCGACTGAACATTTAATTGTGATCAGTACGAAGTGGCACAGTTTTCTATTTTGAAAGAAGTGAAATCAACTAAAAACATAGATCTACGTATAGTCAAAATTACACATAGCTACAAAATAAGTATTCTGTCCAATGATGACAGCATTTTATTTCTTTTTGCATTCTGAGAACAGTCGATACAGATGCAAAGAGTATTCCTGACTAAAAAGAAGATAAAGAAATGATCTAGTTGAAATAACTAGATTATTAAAAACATATCATTGGGTGAAAACAGAACTGTTCTGTTTACTCTGTGCGTGTTCCAAAGAGCCAAAAACGTTAAAATGAGCTCATGCAATTTAAAGGTGACAGAGGATGGGTGAGGGAGCTTTCCTTTTTAGTTGTAATCAATTGCAATTTATAATGAGTACACGGAGATAGCAATCTTCTGTCAGATATGTTAAGGGGCCAGTTACTTTAATGGATGTGTATTATAGGGCCCAAAGAGTCAGCAGGAAGTAAGAAGCGTGTAAGAGTAATAATTGGATAATTATACGATGAAATTTCATCTTTCACAACATAAACTGAGATAGTCATAGTATTAAGGGTTTAGAGGGGGCGGATTTCTTGAAACCTATCGAGGGGAGTATTTTGAATTATGTAGAACAAGGAATGGCACACTGCTTGAATCGGCTCTGGGGAAAGAAATAAGACAAGTGTTGTCTGTGAGACTGGGGGTACATTTCAGCAATAGAGACCATCACACAATATGATTCAAATTTGTTCTGGAGAAGGAAAAAATAGCCCTCAAAATATGGCTTTGGATTGGGTGAAGCCAGATTTTATTAAAGTAAAGCAGGATCTGGCCAAAAGTGACTGGGAGCAGGTCTTTTCAGGCAGGTCTACAGCAGAGCAGTAGGGGGTATTGAAAAATGAGCTGGGGAGAGTACAAGTCTAACATATACCCAATAGAGGGTAATATAAGAGCAATATGTTCAGAGAACCTTGGATGTTCAGGACGGAATAAAGAAGAAGAGTGGAGCTTTTAGCAAGTCCAAAGGGAGAAATTCAGCTGTGGCCGTAGAGGAATACAGAAAGTGCAGGAGGGAACTTAATAGAGCAATTAGAAGAGCAAAAAAGGGGGCATGAAGGAGAACTTGCGAACAGAATTAGTGAGAATGCTAAAATACTTTTCTAAATTTTAAAGTTTGTTGAGAAGATTTGTAGCTTGGGTCGTGGATGAGGGTGCAGACTTGCTTGCTGAGTCGAACTGAGCCATATAAATAACAAATGGGACAGAACACTAACACTTTACCGGAGGCACGCTGATGTTACCTAAAAGGATGATGAAATGTTTGCAATCAAACACAGTGGCTCGATGACCAAGTCTGCAACCTCATACTTTGTCTAAGTATATTAAAGGGAAGAGGTTAACCAGTGAAAGAGCAGGGTTCATTAGGGACCAAGGGGGCAACCTGTGTTTGAAACCACAGGACACTGGAAGAGTGTTAAATAAATACTTCTCTTTGGTCTCACTCTGGAAAAGGAGATATTAGAATTCAGGAAAGGGGATTTTGAGGAACTTGCACAGCTCAACGTTTGAAATGAGGAGGTATCGGAGGCTGTGTCAGGCTGAAAACGGACAAATCTCCAGTTCTGGATGAATTTCATCCTCCGCTGCTGTGGGCGATGAGGCAGGTAATTTCAGGGCCTCTAACACAAATTTTCAATTGCTATCTGGCTACAGATGACGTGCCAGAGGACTGGGGGATGGCTAATGTGGTTCCACATTTTATGTAGGGTGGTAGCAATGAACCAGGAAAACAGGTGTTGAATCATATGTTAGTGATAGGGAACTTATGGAGAATATTCGAGAGAATATTTGCACCAGTGTCCATAAACGTTACCATTCGCACCATTAAAATGAAACTAAACTCAAAGCTGTAAACTTTTACAGTGAGCACATTCTGTAAAATGAAAACCTGTCAGACAGAATTAATACTCATATGGAGAATCATGGGTTCATTAAAGACAGTCAGTATGTCTTTTTCAGAGGGAGGTTATGCCAATTAAATTTGTTAGAATCTTTCAAAAATATCATTGAGAGTGTAGATGGGGGATGTTCAGTTGATGTATTTTATATGGATTTTAGCAAAGCTTTTGGAAAAGTCCAACATGGGAGAATAATTGATAAGATTAAAACATATGGAATACAGGGAAACTTGGTGAGATGGAGCAGAAACTGGGCTTAGTAGTGGTAGAAAACTGTTCGAATGATGGGAGACCGGTGTCCAGTGATGGAATGCAAGGATCAGTACGATAAACCTTATTGTTTGTACACATGTGATATAGATGAAAATGTAGTGTGTGTATGTGTGTATAGGTGGTGGGGTTGAGGGGATGTTTAATAAGTTTGCAGGCAACACCAAACTTGGTAAAGTGGTTAATAGTGAAGGAAATGATTGAAGGTTGCAGGAAGGTATAGATAGTTTAGTTAAATGGGCACAGGTTTGGCAAATGATATTTAACTCTGATAAGTTTGGGGTGATGCGCTTTATAAGAAGAAACAAGATGAGGGAATATTGAATGAAAAGCAGGATATTGTGTAGCTTAGCAGAAGAGAAGCATCTTGAGCTAATTGCTCATAGATCCCTGCAGTAGGCAGAGTACGTGAATAAGATAGTTAAGAAGGCATATGGGACATTTACTTTCATCATTTGTGGTGTACATAAGGTCAAGGAGTTAATGTTGGACTTCTACAAAGCGTTAGTTAGATTACAGTTGGAGTACTATGTGCAGTTCTGGTCAGCTCACTACAGGAAGGATGTGATATCATTAGAGGGGGTACAAAAGAGGTCACTAGTATATTGTCTGGGATGGAGAAACTGATCTGTGGGATGGAATTAGACAGGCTTGAATTGTTTTCTTAAGAGTAGAGCAGACTGAGAGGGGATATGATTGAGGTGTATAAGTTTATGAGGGGTATGTACAGGCAGAATAGACAGCAGAAATGACCTTGATTGAGGTTGTCAATCATGAGAGGGTCAGGATAATTCAGAGACCGTTTCAGAAAAAAGAAACTTTTTCACTCAGAGGGCGGGGGGAATCTGGAATGCACTTTTTGGGGATGTAGTGGAGACTGTAAACATTGCAATCCTTACAAAATTGGATGAACGCTTGAAATATCATAACATTCAGCAATATGAGAGAAGTGCAAGAAATTGTGATTAGTAGTAGTTATGCTGGCGCAGACCCATTGGGCTGAATTGCCTTTTCTGCAGTGTATAACTTTATGACTCTATAACTCTTAACTGAAGTTGATGAACAAATGTTGAATTGCCGTTCCCTGCTCCCAAGTTTCTATGATAACAGTTTCTGATTTATTCTACAGACTTCTTATGCTCCCTTGAAATTTAAAGAAGATCCAATACTTTGATGAACGGAGCATTTAAGATTTGAAGAACGTGTGGCATGTTTTCTCTGAATAGGAAGTCACTAAGAAGTATGCTTCAGTAATTTTCGAAGAAATATATTCCTAAGTTTGTGTTGTGTCCATGTATTTTATGACCCATTTGTGTAGAAGTGGATGTTTAATTCATGCGAGGAGCTAACACAATGAAACCTGGAACATGGAACTATTCCACCAATTGAAGATTTCATTATCCTTCACCAATGTAATATCCAACTGTCATTAATGAATTACCATTCCAACGTGGAAATGACCAAAGTAGTAAAGATTCACCTGCTACTGAGGACAGTTTTGTTTCTTGTTATTATCCTTTTAAGTATGTGTATACTGCTGATAAGACCAATAATTAATAAGAATTCAAAATGTTTATTTTTAAGTTGATACAAAGTTTCCTATGTATATATTGAGGATTTTGTACCATCAAAGTTAGATTACAGGGTCTGTTGAAGTGTGTTGAATATTGAAATATTGGAAGAATAACAATACATCTCAAGACCAGAAATGACCGGAAAATTAGAATGGAACATTTAGTTTATTTTGCTGTCTGGAGACTGCTAACTTTACATTGCTAATCGTTACCAATTACTGTTTTGCACGTTACTTATAAATGATCTTTGTGAGATGTATATTTGCATGCAGTCGACACATGCTCTCACTATCATGGTCACAGAGGCAGAGAGTGTGTTTAATATGTTGAATTCCACGTCAATGAAATGATTTGCTTCATTTTTGGTCATGGGAAACTCAATATGTCCAGCAGTATCTGTGGAGAGAGAAGCAGTGCTACCTTTTTGAGTGCAATATGAGCATTCCTTGGAATGTCCACAGTCCTTCAGTTGCTTGCTACAAGCACTCTTCCAAGACTGTAGGCAGTACTTCAAGTGTAATCTGATCAGCATCTTATAAAATTGCATAATGACTTAACAAAATGTATATGCCGTCTTCCATAACATAAATGTCAACACTCCACTTACCAGCATTATTACATGTGTGTCGCTTTTTTAATGCTCGCTAAACATGGGCACTTGACCTGGTATTAAGAACAAAAAGTGCAATACAGGAACAGGCCTTCGCTCGAACAAGGTGCTGCCAACACAGGATGCCTTTCTAAACAAAAAAATCTTTAACTTCTACGCAGCTTGTATCTCTGTTCCCTACCTATTCATTTATCTGCCAAGATGATCCTTAAACATTATTATTGTATCCACCTCCACAACCTCCTCTGCTTGTGCATTCCAGGTATTTTTCAACCTCTGTCGAAAGAAAAAGCCTCTCATGTCTCACTTAAACTGATCCCCTTTTACCTTAAACCTTAAACTGATCCACTTTTACCTTAAACCTTAAACCATTTGTACTCTGGGGAAAACAGTCTGAAACTCTGGAACAGTTGATAATTATTAGTTAATTCATATATTATCTTCTTAAGTATTCAGTAGTCTTTTCATTTGTGTTTGAATTGTGTGGTAACAATAAAGTATGTTTTGCTTGAAGCCTGGTAGTGGACCACATCAGAATACATCTGACAAAAAAAAAATCTTACATCACCTTTACATAAATAGCAAGTTAGTGTCTAGGCTATTTCCTTACTACATCGTGGGAGCTAGGAGTCCGGTCTGATCCATAACAAAATTGGGTCTCATCTGGGATCAAAATCTCTAAATTGGGTTTGGGTTTAGGATTATTGGACTGAAAGACAGTGACTGGAGACAATTCGTATTCTGTTTTAAATGTTGCATTTGATTCGTTTACACAGGGAGTGCCTTGTGTCATAATGGCTTCATGAGAGCTTAAGAGTTTCCTGGGTGTGAAAGCAATCACTTGGAGTGGCTTACAGAACGTGAAGAAGACAGAGCTTGTGGAATTGACGGACGAGCAGAGGTTGGGGTTGCCTTTGTTGTGAGGACAAGGGAGGAAATTGCAGTGATAGCCTAACACTTACTTTTGCCAGAAATGCAATCAGAATAATTGGAAATAGCTAAAATTCTATTGCAAATGAAGCAGTTTGATTCAGATGGCAATGGCAAGGGAAAAAGGAAAAATGAAAGGGGAGGCAGAAATCAAAACAGAGGGATGAAAAGATGCAGCAGAATCAAGAACAAAATAATTAAAATAGCTTGAAACTGAAAAGGAAATGAAGGGTTTGAGTTATGATTAAAAGCAGAAGAAAGAGCTAAAGAGAGAGAAGAAAGAGAGAGAGAGAAGATTTGAATTTCAGAAGTTGGAACTGGAAAGTGACAGTTGACTTGAAATGGTAGAAGTTAATGTAAAAGGTTGCAGCAGTGATGACATTAGTGATAAAGATGAAACCACCATAGCCAAAAGCTTGGTGTGGATCTGTTTAAATATATTGCTGAGGCAATTTCGTGATTTTGCTGAAGGAAGATGGAAGTGTTCAGTGGTGGGGAAAAGACAAACTGAAATAGACTGCAGTAGTGACTGTTTGCATACTTAGAGTCAATGTAATATGTATGTGTTGCACTGTACTGCTAGGCTAATTAAGAAAAAGCCATATTTGTAAATCGATGGTTCATTTTTTAAAAGAAAAGATAGTATGTTAAAATGGCTTTATGAGCTGTACTTTGTCCTGTTTCTTTTATTGCGAATGAAGGTTGAGGCAGAAGTGCCAAGGGATCTGTTTCAAGCCAATAAAGTAAAGAACTTATGAAACCTTTTCTTTCAAGTTGGAACAATAGGAGCAGCATGAGGTGGTGGGGTCAAGCTCTCACAGTACCAGAATTTCAGTTTAGTTTTCAGTAGCTATTAGGGCTTGAAATCTGCAATACGCCTCTACCAAATTGCATTCAGAACACAACACTTGCCTTTTAAAAATAAGAAAATATTGGCATCTAGGCTATCTTCTTAATATATTTTGAAGGGTTTGGTCTGGCCCGTAACAGAATTGCAAACAATTTTCAAACTTACTGGGCTGTTTTAATCCTTTACAATTTGCCTACTGATGTAACAGTTCCACTGCAGAAGTTATCACTCACCTCAGGCTCCTACTTACTGACTACAGCTGTGCCTTCAACAACATAACTCCTAACAAATGCATCTCCCAACTTCAAGACCTAGGTCTCAGCTTCTCTTTCTGTAACTGGATAACAAAGTCCCGATTAGTAACAATAGTTGAAAACACATTCTCCACAATAAACGTCAACACCAGAGCCCCACAAGGCCTCATACTCATCTCCCTGCTATACTCCCAATGCAATCCCGACTGTGAGGTCAAATTCCACCACAACTCCATTGGGATGGGATGATGACATCACCATTATTGGTTGGATCTTCAACTATAATGAGACAGAGTACAGAAAAGAGATTGAGAGCTTAGCAGCATCGTTGAAAGACCACAATCTTTCCATCAACGTCAGCAAAATGAAGGTTCCGGTCATCAACTTCAGGAAGCGGACTGGAGCACACACCCTGTGTCTGCATCAATGATGCTGAAGTGGAGGTCATCCAGAGGGTCAAGACCCTGGGAATGATGATCACCAAATATCTGTTGTGGTCCATCCATGTTAAAGTGGCTGTCAGGGAAGCAGAACAGCGCCTCTACTTCCTCTGCAAGCTAAGGAAATTTGGCATGTTCACAAAGACCCTTACTAATTTTTCTAGCTGCACCATAGAAAGCATCTTGTCTGGATACGTTATAGCATGGTGTAACAACTGCTCTTCCTAAAACCGCAAGAAAATACAGAGAGTCGTGTGCACAGCCCCATCCATCACGCATTGTAGCCTTGCATCGATTGACTCCATCAAAACTTCCTGCTGCCACGGGAAAGCCACCAACATAATAAAAGTCACCTCTCAGCCCGGTTATACCTTCTTCCATTAGGCAGAATATACAAAAGTTTGAATACACTTATGATCAGATTCAAGAATAGCTTCTTCCCTTTCTTTTCAAACTTTTGACTGACCTTCTCAAATGTTAATGTTGATCTCCCTCTCTCTGTAACTGTAACACTGTATTCTGCACTCTGTTTTGCTGCCCGATGCACTTTGTACAGTACATCACTGTATCTTGGTACATGTGACAAAAATAAATCAAGTCAAATTAAATAACTAATTTATTAGAGTTTAAATATAGCAGGATGTACACTAACGTAAACGAGACCAGTATTCTTCATCTTAATTTAGCACATAACATCACACAAGTGCAGAATTTAAAAAAAAAACCTCTTTCACAAAGACAAAAAGTTGCAATTACCGGCTTATAGTGTGCACCACTACCTTGAATGTTGCAAATTGGAATCTACAAACATTACACATGCTGCATCTGTCCAAGTTTTTAATTCAATGACATGTGAAGAGAAAATGCTGAAAAATAATTTGTGTCAGGCTAACTTTAAATTTCTCACTGCTTGCAATAATTACCACGTCCAATTCAAGTATTCACTGTCATCACCACAGCCAGATCAGACAATAAATTGATTTTCTTAATCAATTGACTAAATTCATTTTATTCAATTTTCTTACTTCATCAATTATTAGTTACTTCCTATGAAAGAATGCTTTCAATGTGGAAGAAGTCTATTAGGTCTATCGAGTCCATACTGCCACTCTGAAAAGCATCCCACTTAGATGGAACTCCCTAACCTATCCAAACAAGCCTGCATTTCCCTTGGCTAATCTGCCCAAGTATATCATGGAAATAGTCAATACCCTAACATTTTTCTGATGAAGGGTCTGGGTCCGAAACATCAGCCTTCCTGCTCCTCTGATGCTGCTTGGCCTGCTGTGTTCATCCAGCTCTATACCTTGTTATCTCAGATTCTCCAGCATCTGCAGTTCCTACTATCTCTGATACAACCCTAACATTTAATTTTTTTGACAGGCACATATGAAGTGCTGTTAAAGATAAGATTCAGTTGGACCATCGCTAAACCTTAATCACAGCACACTTTATCATAACAATACAATTAAAACACAGCAAAAGGAAGATTTGGCATTACCTTACTCTATTGAAATACTTAGTAAAGTAATGAATTATTTAGCCACTAATCAACAACAGTTCCAACATAGATAGCATGTCATAAACACACCATTGACAAACACCATTCAGCAACACAGTTATTATTCTCACGTGCTGTCTGTCTCCAAACCAGTAGAAAGAAACAACACAACCAAATAAAAATCCCTTTTGTTTAATCTCAAAAGCAAACTTCTCTGTCTAAGACTTTATTCCAGCAGCTCCAGCAGCCAACAAAAATCTACCCAAACAACGGAAAGGAAAGCTAAAGTCTTTTTGCGACTGTCCGATCCTGACTTCGCCATTTAGTGATTTTTTTTATCTTACATTTAATAATAATTAGAAAAAAAAACACAGGGAGAGCTCAAAGCTGTTTACCAACTGCCTGTATGAAGGAGACATGTTGACACCACTGTGACAACACCCCTCTACAAGAGAAGCAGGATAGAACAAATCTATAAAGGCACAATATCATCACACACCTGCCTTAAGAAAAGAGTTCCCAATGTATAAAGATGGCTTCAGTTTCAAACAGTTTAATCTCACGATAGTAGTGCTCTACATTACTTGCGAAATATATTGACATGCAAATATTCAATAAAACAATTCATTTCAGTCAGTTTCTTCTGTCACAGAGCACCTCCATTTTGCTTCATCACAGTTTATGAAACACATTGGGGATTATAGTCTCTAGTCTTGCCAAATGTCTAATTTGCAAATTGAATCTATGGAACAACAAACTCTATTAAAATCATTTGGTATTTTTCTCCTTAAATTTACCAAAAAAAAGAAAAAAGATCATCAAGGGTTTAAGATCAGTAGACACATTCCTCTCAGAAATCTTACTGGAAACATGACTGTTGAAATGTAGCGACGTCAATAACAAACTCAAGGTCTCAACGCTGCATTATTTCCATTCACGTTTTTGGAACAATACCGAATATGTTGTTTCTATACACTCATTGCCTTGCATTAATAATCAACGTGAACAGATGTACGTTATT